CATGATTGTGAATTTGTGATGATTCTCTTGAGTCCTTAGCTATTTGTTAAGATTTAGTCAGTATTTCTATTTCAGGGTAATTCTAGCAAGCTTTGCATGTTCATAGTTGCCCATGCTTGAAAAGGAAACTTGCATACACACACATGAGCGTAGTCTTATTTAACATCATAAAAATGATGTTCTTGCTAGACTTCAGGTGCTTAAATATTCATAATGAAACATGTTCTAGAGTGCATGGGCATCATGAGAATTCTGATTGTTGTAGAATAGCTGTCTCACTTCCCTTTGACCGACTGTGGTCTTGAGGCAGTAGTCTGCCCATAGATTTTCTTCTATTGTGGTTGTCCTACCATACCCTCGAATATGCAGCATCAGCATAAAAAGTTATTACGTAGCATTTTTATTTTTGATCACTCTATACTTATTTCTGTGAATTAATCTTCTTGCAGTTCCTTCCACTTCCAATGATTTCTGGCTATTATGCGGCAAGGTTCTTTACTAAGAAAAGCTTATCATCATACTTCACCTTTGTAGCAATAGCAAGCATGATGGTCCTTTGGTTTGTAGTCCATAATTATTGGGATCTGAATATATGGATTGCTGGCATGCCATTGAAGTCATTCACCAAGTATGTTGTTGCAGCCGTAATCATGGCAATGACTGTTCCTGGTTTGGCGCTTCTCCCAACGAAACTGCGGTTTCTTGTAGAACTTGGTCTTACTGGTCATGCATTATTGATATGCTACATCGAGAACCGATTGTTCAACTATGCTACGATGTACTACTTTGGATTTGAAGATGATGTCATGTATCCTAGCTATATGGTTTTGTTTACAACCTTTCTCGGATTGGCTCTGGTAAGGAGATTATCTGTTGATCAGAGAGTTGGGCCAAAAGCTGCTTGGATCTTGACTTGTCTTTATTCTTCAAAATTATCAATGTTATTTATCACATCAAGATCGGTGCTATGGGTTTCAGCGGTTTTGCTACTCGCTGTCACTCCCCCCTTGCTTCTTTACAGGTATACCACAGCATCATGTTCTAATTGAGTGTTTTGACTTCTTTATATAACATTCTTCCCTGTACCTTCCAGAGACAAGTCCAAAGGGGCTTCAAGGATGAAAGTCTGGCAAGCTTATTTCCATGCATCTGTAGTAGCCTTTTCTGCATGGCTCTGCCGGGAAACAATCTTCGAAGCTTTACAGTGGTGGAATGGAAGGCCTCCTTCAGATGGCCTACTTTTGGGTTCCTATATTCTGTTGACAGGTCTTGCTTGCATACCAATAGTCGCTCTCCACTTCCCTCATGCTCAGGTATTTGACGCTTACCCCTCTGTTGTAAAAATATCGATCTTCTCATAATCATATTTGTTATTATCTGTTCGTGATCTGCTCTGTACTTTTGCACTAAAATTCTTCAAGTTTGCCTTCTCAACAAATTCCCTAGTGAGGGTTTGCTTCCCAGTGGTTATAGATGGACCACTGACTTAAAACACTTTGAGGTTGAGGTTCTGTGGAATTTTAAATGATGACATCAATTGTCAGCTCCAGCTTATTTACCTTCTTGAGGGTATCATGTTGGTTGACATTGCTTTGGGGACACTACTTGCTAAAGAACATTAGATGCAAACATTAGATGATGATATGTCCAATACATGCTACACACTGGTAGGATTCAAGCTAACCTTTTTTGGTTGGACGTTACCTTGATTTTGGTAAAGTTTTATTAAGTTCCATATGTTGGATTTCATTTTAGGTTATCTTTTTAAAGAGTTTTTGAAGTGATCCTACTCGTAAGTTTTATTATCATGCCCATAATGTTAAAAGTTATTTTAGATTGGTCTAAGGCTTTGCTTGCACGGAATGCACTGTTTGAAGCACTTTTACTTACTGAATACTGATCACTAGCTAAATGCCTATGCTTCTCTATGGATAAAAGAAAATATGCCATAGTATTGCCTAAAATAAATGTATTCTTTTTTTGCTTCAGGCATGTTACTCGCTTGTTTGCTATAGGCTGTGCTCACCTTGATCATATATATGTGGCAACCCATTTATTTATAACTATTCTGTAATAGAAAAAAGAGTATCAGGGCGCAATTATAAAAGCTGGAGAGGATAGATGTATGGATGAACTTTGAAAGGAGTATAGATGAACTTACTCCCTCTGATCCCCCCCCCCCAAAAAAAAAGAAAGAAAAAAACCAACCTAGTATGGGATGGGGCATAATCTAGTACAACGATGTAGACACGCTCCTGTCCAGATTCATTATGTTCTATCTCGTACTAGGTTGGGTTTTTTTGGGACGGAGGGAGTACAGGTTTATACCCGAAGTTATGATGATGCTTGGATCCTCATGTGTTAGTTTTGCTTTTCTCATATGTGTAGTCGGTATTATTCATATTAGAAAGCATATTATTCAGTGTTTACAGTATCTGTTTAGCAGGAAGCACCTTCATTTTGAAATATTTAAATTCAACATTTTGCTGCCCCTATATTTGTTACTTGTTCTTTTCCTTTCTCATGTTGAAGTGTCAAACTTTTGGTAATGTGAACGTTACAAGGTATTTTGGAGCTGCTACAATTGATTCTATGTTACGATTTGTTTGCAGTCAGCCAAGAGATTCCTAGTGCTTGTTGTGGCTACAGGGCTTCTTTTTGTTATCATGCAACCACCTATTAAACTTTCATGGGTATACCGGTCAGAGTTTATCAAAGCTGCACATCTATCTGATGATGACACTTCAATATATGGTTTTATAGCATCCAAGCCCACATGGCCATCATGGCTGCTGATTGCAACAGTGGTACTGACATTAGCAGCAGTTACATCCATTATCCCTGTGAAGTATGTTGTTGAGTTGAGGGCTTTGTATGCATTGGGGGTTGGAATTACCCTTGGCATCTACATATCTGTTCAGTACTTCTTCCAGGCAGTTGTTCTGTATCCTCTTCTTGTTGCAACAATTGTCTTGGCTGCTGTCTTTATAGTATTCACTCATCTGCCATCTGAATCCAGCACAAGGGTTTTGCCATGGGTGTTCTCTTTCTTGGTAGTTCTATTTCCAATCACATATCTTCTTGAAGGGCATCTAAGAGCTAAAAATTTTGTGGATGATGAGGAAGCAGAGAACTTCACCAACATGTTGGCTATAGAAGGGGCCAGAATGTCACTTTTGGGTCTATATGCTGCCATTTTCATGATTATTGCATTAGAAATTAAGTTTGAACTGGCTTTGCTATTGCGTGAGAAAGCTGCAGACAAAGGTGTAACACATGGTCCACCTGGTCGGAGTTCTGCCTTTCCACCAAAGGCAAGGCTACTTCAGCAGCGAAGAGCTCATGCTGCGCCAACTTTCACTATCAAGAGATTGGCAGCAGAAGCAGCTTGGATGCCTGCAATTGGCAACTTTTCAACTGTGCTGTGCTTCATCATCTGCCTTATTCTCAACGTTACTCTTACCGGTGGCTCAAATCGTGCTATTTTCTTCCTGGCACCTATCCTTCTGCTCTTGAACCAGGATTCAGATATCATTGCAGGATTTGGTGACAGGCAACGTTACTTCCCTGTAACAATCTCCATTTCTGTTTATTTAGTATTGACAGCATTGTATCGTTTATGGGAGGAGACTTGGCCTGGCAGTGGCGGGTGGGCACTTGATATTGGGGGCCCAGGCTGGTTCTTTGCTGTGAAAAATGTTGCCCTTCTCATGATGACATTACCTAATCACATACTCTTCAATCGCTTCATGTGGGATTATGTCAGGCAGACAGATGCGAAGCTACTTCTGACGCTGCCCCTCAACTTGCCGTCAATTATAATGACAGACATACTTACTGTGCGGGTACTAGGACTGTTAGGTGCTATTTATTCTCTATCACAGTATGTTATATCAAGGCGGATAAGACTTGCTGGGATGAAATACATTTAAACTAGGACATGCAACTTCTTTTGAGGTAAATCTTGTATGCCCTGCGTCAATGGTTGTGAATAAGAGTCTCCAGCTTCTGATGCTAATATTTCGGTGCTTGCTTGCAGGCTTTCAACCATATACGACGGCGATTGCTTTCAAAGGCTCTTGCTTGAAGTCACATTTGTCTGGTGAACTGTGAACAAAATTGCGCCTTGAAGTAGAGAAACAATGGTCAGTAGTCACCAGTTTTGCCCTTAGATGATCTTTATACTGGTAACCTAAGGTGTTGTAGTATAAATGTTACTGAACTCAGCTCGTACAGCACATCACCTTGGGTCCTCAGAACCTGTGACCATACAGCATTTTGTGTCAGATACTTTCTTATATAAGCCTCACCAGAACTGACATATGCTGAGTCTGCATAGATTCTTTTGTTGTCCAAGTGACTAATTCTGAATGGCAATGTTCTCCACGGAGCTGTCTGGTTCTGTTTGCTTCCTATATTAATACCTTTTCAATGTACATTATATATGATAGGGTATATGCTGAGGTCTTGGAGAGTTGGAGTGACTGATCTTCTGTTTGTCAGTAATCAGTCAGTTTTTTCCCAAAAAAACTTTTGATTTCATGAGATAGTTTTAGGATCTGCTTTCTGACTTGTGAGGCTGTTCTTTGGTACTACATGAAGATTTGCTTCGTATTCGGAAGTGCACGAGTTTCTTCAGGTCGCAGTGATAGACACGGGATATTCTAAACTACCATGTTTGATGTTTCATCAGAACATTGTCTATGCAATTTTCCGCTTCAATGCATTTACTTATCTCGAAAATTGGACCTGTTGTCAGTCATCACAATTAAAAGTTTTTCTTTTTTGAAATAAGAAGGGTGTTTCTCCTGTGGTATTTTTGTTCCGTTGAAAACGTAATATGAAAACCCGCTTCCTTGGTCACAAAGCGACCGACGAATGACCGGACGCGCTGCACATGGCCCAGACGCTGCCACGGTTGCCACCGAGCCGCACCGCTCTTGGTGGGTCCCACCAGCCAAGCCCGAATTTAACGAGGAGGCGATGGGGCCCACCAGTCAGCCACACGTCTCCCACCACCTCCGCGATCCCCTCTCCTCTCACCTCGCCTCCCATGGCGGCCGCGCTCCTCCGCCGCGCGCTCCACCTCCACCTCCACCTCCGCCGCGCGCTCCCCTCCCCTCCCCGCGCCGGCGCGCTCCTCCTCCCCGCCGCCGCTTCCTCCCCCGCCCACCGCTTCCTCTCCGGCTTCACCACCACCACCCAGCAGAACAGCGCCTCCACCACCACCATCGACCTCTCCTCCGACGAGAGCCGCCGCCGCCTCATCAACAGGTGCGCCGCCCATCCCGCTTCTCTCTATCCTTTTCCTTTCCCCGCGATACCTCGTCGCCGGCGGCGGTTGTTGACGTTGTGTTGGGGGTGGGTGCTGGCGCAGGCTGGTGTACAGGAGCAAGCAGCGGGGGTTCTTGGAGCTGGACCTGGTGCTCGGGACCTGGGTCGAGCAGCACATCCACTCCATGGACGAGGCCAACATCCGCGCCCTGCTCCAAGTCCTCGACCTCGTAAGATATCTTTGGCTCTTTGCCTGTCTCCCCTCTTATTTCGTCATGTACAACTATTCATCCGAGTAAACCTGTTGCCTTGCTGTAACAGTAGATAAATCAGCTAGTTGAAACTGTTCCCAATGAACCCATTGTATATGGTCTCAGTTATATTTTACTGTTTATTTTTCCCTGGCCTTGGGTCAATTTGTAATTTATAAGTATTTGTTTGGGGGTTTAGCCTCCATTCTCTAAGGCTGATTCGTAGTTGTGTGCTTTTGTAAAGAGCTATGGTTGAACACCTTTAAGAGAATGTAAAGCATCTTGATGAGTACTGCTCGGTAGATTCAGAAGGGCCATGAGGTTTTTTGGGAACTAGAAATTATTGGTTCTGATTGTTGATGCTGAAGAGTTCTGACTATCCACGTGGGTTAGTTTTCTTGTTCAACAAAGTCAGGAAATAGTTTCAGCCCATCAGAAGTTTGCATTCTAGCCATCCTCTGAGTATCCTCTGAGTAGTTGCAATGAATACATGGGAATTTGATTGGGCAATTCAGCAATTGTGGATCCTAGATCCAAGATAAACATCCAGACTGTACATTCATGGATAAAGAGAGTATAAATCCAGGCAGTGGCTTTTGTGACTGAAAAATTCATAGCATAAAGTGGTATAACTGTAAGTCATTTGACCAGACAAATTTGGTAACCTATGAGTCTGGTTTTCCTTTGAACCATTTATCTGCCTCAGAGCCTTCAAATTGTTTTTTTTTGGGTTGACCAGAAATGTCTTCTTAAACAAACAAGAATACCAATCACATTTTAGAATGTTTAGAATGTCTATGCATCATCTCTCATGCTTAACAACGTTTTATATAACATGCTTCATACTGCTCATAACTTCTTGGAAGGCAAGTGCCATGATCCATTGGACAGCCAGTGCATCAAAGTATCCATTTATTCTTGTGTTGAACTTGTAGATTGGCTCTAAGCTCTAATTTATGGCTTTTCAGGAAAACCCAGATTTGTGGAAGTGGCTTACTAGTCAGGAACAACCACCCGAGGCAGTGAACTCTAATCCTGTATGTCATATCACAGAACTCTTCTATCTTTCTTCTATCCTTCTGAATCTCTGGTTGCTTCTGTACTCAACGGGTTTTGTCCAAACAGGTATTTATCGCTGTTAAATCGAAGGTCACGGACAACCTGAGCAAGCACTCTTCTCCTGAGACCAGATCAGCACCTGGTCAGCCATGGGTGAGAGGGTGGGATGACAAGCGAGGCATTGAAGGACCAAAGTATGGAAATCAGTGATGAGATATGCTTCAGAGAATGGTAGCGGTTTTATGCCTAAGTATAATCCTGTTTTGTTGCCCCTATAGTTTGGTGCTTGTGTAGAATAAATTAAATCATGGTATCCAATGATTTGGAAATTTGGAGTGTCACCATGAATTTGGATTGACAAATAATGCTCTGTACAAGTTTCAAACACTTTCTGGTTGAAGACAAAGCAGTGTGGTGGTAACAACTTAACATGTAAATCAAAAGCTCTTGTGTTTAGCATTTTCTCGTTTATGAAATAATGATGGAAAATAATACTCTAAATTGCAATGCACAGACCTATATATTGCAACCAACACCTTAAGAGGAGGGCCTACCCAATTAATAGAAGGTCAATACTAATTGTAAGTTAAATGATGAGAGACATCTGATCATCACGGGGCCCCTCATTTCACTACGAATCATAGAACTGGTGTATATATCTTTGCAAGATTTGAAAGAAAAAAAAACATTGCCAAGGCACGAATAATTGTTATACTGAAATTGCAATGTTCATTTTGTGGTGTATACACCATCTTTGCCACACTGAAAAATGAAATATATCGCTCTTATTTACAGAATAAATGAAAGAACGAAATAATAAGATGGAATTATTTTTGACATTATCGTACATCACAGAACTGCACAGAGAAAAAAAAACTATCGTTTGAGAATATCACAATTAATTTCATCTTCATATAAAGAAACGAAGATCACTTCAACAGTATGCAGAATCTATGAACCGGTTGAAGCTTGTTGAGCTCGCATCACCATTTCTTCAGTAGTTTGCCCTATAATGTCATTTGCACGCTTCAATGGAACACATACAATTCTCCCGATTGAATCCTGAGCAGACAAATTTTCTGTCAGAATTAAAAAAAAACCTCGAAATGGATTGGTAACTTTTGATAAAAACAAGTTAGAGCTAGATCTTGAAATATAAGGATTGTTCAATGAAATTTGAGGTACTTTGGTCACTTTCTGCGCTGCAATTACATGTGCGTCTGCTAGGACGAGAATCAAATATTTTTACTTGGAGTTACTTGAATGAATCTCGTTCGTAATCTTACCCGAGATACAATTCCAAGCTTTTCTAGCTTCTTCACAGCATCAACAACGTCAAAATTGCACTCCACACCAAATTCTTCCTTGATGAGCTGTTCGCAGCGTAAATCGAGATCCTGTAACGGGCAATAAACTTCAGAAAGTCCATATATATGTGAATAAGTCTTAAGGGCATAAAAGTGAATATGATTACATCCTCCATACTCTCCATTTATATGATGAACTTGATGCCACAGAAACTAATGTCAGAAAACAGAGAGAGATGTGTAACTAGTGTACAGAAAAATTATGGTTGTGTGGGCACAATAAAAACTGCAAAAGCAGATAATGAATGCAGAATACGTGTGGAAACATTTTTTTTTCATTTTTGAAAAGCATTTATTCAAATGGGAAGCAAGTAGGGAAGGAAAATTAGTTATGGGCAGCTGAAATATATTGCATAAACGTCATTTCGGGCCTTCAGGGAGAGGTATGATTACTCACTTGTACAGTTGCCTTTCCTTGCTCCATCAAAATATAGTAAGAAACAATGACCTCTTTAACCTGCAAACCCATTTTATATGTCAGTGGCATATACAAAGACAAGTTATATATATCAAAGAGAAATCCCCCATGGTTCCATACTTCTTGCTGGATCACATCATCACACAAATGCAGAAGTGTTCCTTTCCCACTGTCAAGCTGTTTATCATACATCGATTTTGTAATCAAATTCTGGTAAGACACCATATTGGCCTGAAATCTGTTTGACAAGAGATAAAAATTCTCGGTAAGCATAACATCGTGTAATAGACCATGTCGGTATACAACTGATATATACCGAACTGAATCTAATGTTTAAGAAATAATTGTACTATGATAAGTTTAACCACTTACGTAAAGTAGATCTTAGCACAGTATCCAATTAAACCAGACAAGATTGCTATGACAACCCATATATCAGCCTTTGGCATCTCAAGAGAACCTATTAGAGTAACCTGAAAAGAAAATGGCTATTTAGATGCTCAAAGATTAACTTACCATCATGGTTGGACATTTAGAGCATTAGGCACATACCAAACCTAACACAGCAGAAATAAGAAATTTCACCCAATCCATTGGAGTCAAACTAGGGTTCTTCTTCTCTGGCTAAATCATAGAAATACTAATATCAGGTACACACAAGAAGAACAGAAGGAACCAGAGAGGAAAATGATATAAAAAACATCACATATGAAGCACGCTTCTATATTACCAGAACTAATTCCATATCAGCCATTGGAATGTTCTTGAAATGCTTTACAAATATTCCTCGATCCGGCTTGGCTTCTGTGCTTGATTTCCTTTTAATTTACAATCGAAACAAGAAAGTATTCAGTGTGCCAAGCCAGAAGATTTAAAAATGTTACATTACTTAGGATGGTTAGATGAATACATGTATAACAGAGCGATACCTATATACCACAATCATCCTTTCAAATGTAGGTTCTTGAATTGTCATTTGACTTAGTAGATTCTTTATGCTGCCAATGCCACAAGGAAAATATGCACATCAGATATAAGTTCACTTTTAGTGCCAAAAGTTTACATGTAAACACTAATCAACAACCTCAGCTCCATCTTTTCTAGGCGAATGCGCTCAACAGAAAATTCTTGTTCTTCTACTTCTTCATTAACTTCATCAGTCTTCTTTGGGTCCTTTTTGGCCCTCAATTGCTTTTTCTTAGAGAAGAGTCTGTCAATCCTGTTGTAAAACCAACACCATCGTTTTAAAGTAAATGATTATCTTCCAATCTTGAAGTATGAAAAAGAAATGATGTTATTGAACCACATTATCATACTTTGTAACTCTTAGCAATGATCTCCACACCCGTGATATTATTACATCCACTTTCTCCATGAAGAAGTAATCAGTTGTCCGGTCGATTCCAATGCCCCGCCGAAATATAATGTACTGCAAGCATGGTTGATGTGATAATTAGTTATGCAATATATTATGTAGAACTGAAAAAAATGCATTTATCATCAAATGTATGCCATCATCATGAGGTATCAATAGAAAGAAAGAAAGCCATTTAGAACAAAGAAGACTGTTTTTTTTTTGTTGCATTCATTCTTTTTTCGTCCAAACTGTTGCTTATGCTCTTGAAAGTAAAAGAATGATACCTTATCAACGGATGCTGGTAGATTATCATGTGGATGTGCTTTGAAGTACCTTGTCAACAACTTCTTGTCTACCTAGGATGGTTAAAAAAAACAGTTAAGCAAGTGAAATAGATCATCTGTTTGCATGCATGTTTATGGCCCTTGATTGAAAATATTACAGAAGTAGGTTCAGACCTTGGATTCATCAACTTTGATTGGTAGGTTCAGAAGATACTGACCAGACTGGGCTACATCATATTCTTCATCAGATAACAACTTGAAGTTGCTCTTTTCCATTATCTAGTTAGTATCATGAGTATTTTTTTTAGAACAAAGGGAGTATGAGTTATTGTCAAATCTCACAGACCACATATATTTTAGCTATAACGAAGTGTATATATAGTGGCTTAACCTGAAACATATAAGTTAAGAAATTGAGTTCAAGCGTTTCAATCTCATCTGGTGTCAGGCTTTGCTGCTCCAAACTCTTCACGCCATTAACAGGATCAAATAGGGCATATAATTGCTGAACCACGGCACAAAATTCAGACAATTGAAACTTGATCAACTGAAGGGAGAACTATGAAATAATAAAGGAGGGGGAAAAAAGAGGAAGTGGCCTAGATACCATTAGGTCCTCAAATTGCAGAAGATACCAAGCACGGATAGTGTACTCCACCCTCCTACATAGCTTCAAGAACTCGCCACGATCCTTATCTTGCTCTGAAGATTAAACCCAAAAAATGTGTGGATTATGACAATGTAGATAAATCATAAAATTTCAAGTGCACAGTTCCAAATAACAGAAATTCTGATTCACACATGGAGAAGAGTAAAACTAGTTGAGAGTTTCAGAAATGTCAGGTTGTTTACTCCAAAAGAAATTTCAGAAACTCAGAAATGTCAGGTTGTTTATTCCCAAAGAAATTTCAGAAATGGATTGCCAATATACTGAAATGGAGTAAAATATGCAATATTCACCAACAACTGAGCTAGAAGGACATATTTTTTATCCAGATAAAGAACATCATCGCATTTGAGATCACTGGGAAACATAAAAAGTGATCAAAATCCACATGCAAAGGTTTGAAACAGATTGCAAAGTACTCCTTCATGTCAGACAGATAATGTAAATGTAATATAGGACCAGTAACTGTAATCACGGGAACTCCCAAGTATATAACATGAATCTTTCGAATCGCAGCATGGTTTCCTCGTCAGCAATTAATCGACTGTGCAACACATACTCCAAAAGAGCAAGACAGTTCCCAGTTCCTATTTGAAAGAACCCATTCAAATCAACCCATCTAGGACTTGTTAGTTTGTCATAATTCAAATCAACATGAGTCGTTCGTCGTAGCAATCATGAATCGTGAGATGAACAATTTGATCAATCGTTCGTAACCCATAAATTTCACCAGGAGAAATTAACTTAAAAAAAAAAAAGAACAGACATGTTCTTGTCCCTCCCATTTCCAAGAACCGCGGATTCTTGTGGCAATGCGCGGCCAACCGATCGACCGATCGATCAAAACCCAAAGAAATCAAAAAGGAAGAGGCGGGCATGGGCGGGCGTGTACCGACGAGGTAGGCGAGCTTCATGATGAGCTTAGGCTTGAGGATGGGGATGACGGACTCCCTCTCCAGCCGTATCACCTCCTTCACCACCCCGTCCTTCTTCTCCCTCCTCATCCTCTCCGCCTCCGCCTCCGCCGCCGCTTGCTCCATCGATCGATCGCCGCCCGGAGCAACGTATATACCCTACACCTATCCGACCCTGATCTCGCAGCCGCAGCCGTGGAATCGGGGCAAGGGATGGCGTCGCGCCGCGGGAAGAAGACGATGCCGCCGCGAGAGAGATTAGAGAGGTAATTAATTAAGAATTAATTACTTTATTAGTGATTGATTAATTAGGAGTTGGGAAGAAAAGAAGGAAAGATACCAAAAGTAGTAAACACGTGAGGGTGTGTGCACGGGGCAAAAGCTTCCGGAATCGAGGGCCTGTTCACTTCGATGCCAAAAAAAACCTTACCAAATTTTGGCATTACCAAAATTTTGGCAATTTTGGCAACTAGCCGAAATTTTGGCAGGATTTCTTATATAGTTACCAAAATTTGGCATGAAACTAAATGTAGTCATTTTTTTGGTAACTTTACCAAAATTTGGTAAGGTTGAAATGGCATAAAAGTGAACAGGCCCTGATTTGGTCCACGGAAAAGGCTCATCATGGGCTGGACCGGGCCGGGCCGAAGTGAAAGCCCAGTATGGCCCATGGTATTTCGGCCCATATTCAGCCGGAAAAAAGTTCACTGACTCTGTCAAATATACGTGTAATCTGATTCGTATGTTTCAACAGTATTAGATATCTTGATCCTCAAACTATTAAAACGGATGCAAAACGACTGCCTCGGTAGTTCATTAAATCTTGCTTCGATGGAGTTCATTGTAGATTGATATGCATAATGCTGTTTTTTTTTATATGAAGTGAAACTGAAAGCATTGCAGAATTTGCAGTTCGTTCTGAGCAAAATCTAACTGTATTCATGACTACTAATTATAAAATCTTAGGGGAAAAGAGAAGGATGATCTTGGCAATCGTTTCTCATTTTTCTTATACCTCAAAATACATGGCACTTTGGGCAAATGTAGCCATCAATCTAGAAAAAATATGGTGGATTGATAATACTAAATAGGCAGTTTGGCCTCCTTTCAAGTTTGAGTTTGCATCTTTTGGTATCACAAGGTTGTGCTTTTCATCGTAGGATGATCAAACAGGCTTTAATTTGCCGACGATGCGGCACAATGAGAAGTCAATTTGTTGTCAATAATATAGGGGATGGATATCTTCACCCCTAAAAAAGTGTAGTTTCTTCTCTAAGATACAGAAACTTGCCATGGATTTCCTAGAAGCATATAACAGCACGTTTGAAAAGAAGGCAAAATTTAAAACTCTTTGATGCTTTTCCCCCACTGCAGTGGATCGATCATCTCGTATGTTTCTCCATCTAGTAGACACTGTTCAAGTAGAAGAACAAGCCGGCCAATGCAAGTATCCCGACGGCGATACCGATAGGCAACGCTTGCCTGCAAATTGATCAACAAAGTTTTTTGTTAACTTAATTAAATCATTCACCATGAATCAAGGGCTTGTTTGGAATGCAGGATATTTGACGAATGTAGGTGAAATGGGACTAGTTTCTGTGGAGTTTGTGCGTTCAAATTTGTCTACCTAAGGAAAATTGAAAGCAGCTCAAATTTAATTTAACAACTTGTAATCTTTCTTCTGTATCTATGAAAATTTCTGATTACCCGACGGCTTCGTCCTTTTTCAGCTGCTCCTTCCTAGCCTTGCGGGCATCGGTGGCGTTGGCGTTCTTGGCCACCTTAGGCTCGTACGGCTTGAACCTTCTCTTTGGTGCTCCACAAACTGCATCAGCAATGCAGGGACAGAAGAAATTCAGTAATGCAGACCAAACCTCATAATGTGATTGTCCCGAAATCATGCCAGTATGCCACTCAATGATCCAATTAAATTGTTTACTAAAATTCCCTATATTTTTCTTGTTTGATTCCCCTTAATTAAAACAGGGTAAATATGCTGCCAGCTGCAAACTCTGGGTGGGTCTCTCTCTTCCGATTATGGAACACAGACTGATACAGAATGTCAGCTGGTAATTTCAGTTTAAGCTGTACAAAGCCTCACCTCACACATCGAAAACCAACATATATTCTAGTTAAAACTGTTTATTTTGGGTGAGAAATCATGTCTTAAAATCTGTTCTCTTTTGAATGAAAAACCTTGTAAAATCGCTGATTTTTGCACATGTTGAATTCACCAAAAAAATTGCGAGCTGTTCTTACCGGGGCAGAAGTACTTGTCGGGAAGCTTGTCGAAGGGGGTCCTGTCGCTGTAGATGTACCTGCAAACGAGCACAAAGTCGTCACCAAATTTTGCACAGCATCAAGCAGAACAAGACGAGATCGAGTCGTTCGACGCGGCCGCGGCGAGGCAGTGGCAGAGGCAGAGCGGCTGGCTGGCTGGCTCACCCGCAGTCGCGGCAGATGTAGGCCTGCTTGGACGCGACGCCGAAGCGCATCGTGATCCTCGCCGACGCCGTCGACGCCCTGGCGCCGCGCCGCGGCGGCGCCGGCGCCGGCAGCGACAGCGGCGTGCAGAACGATGACGACCGGAGCGGCGCCGCGGCGGCGGCGGGCGCGCGCAGCGCCTGCAGCTGCAGGGCGGCCATCACCACCGCTCACCGCAGCACAAGAAACAGGCGCGTGGCGAGCTCGAGATCCGAGGAGAGAAGAAGAGAAGGTAGGAAAGCAATGTGGGGGGACTGGAGGAAGAAGAAGCGGTGGAAGAGAGGGGAGGATAAGAGGGAGCGGGAGATGATTGGCGCGCGCGCCTGCAACGCAAGCGCTCGCTCTCCTTTTCTTTTCTCCCTCGCTTTTTCGCGCGCGTGGCGTGGCGTGGCGTGGCGTGGAGCCGGGAGCTCCGAGGGGGCGAGTGTGGATTGGAGAAGGTGCGTGCGTGGCGGCCATGGCGTCCCTTCGCGCGCTATCCCTTTCCACTGGACGGGAGCGCCACTTGCCGCCAATTGCAAGGGCTCTTCTCCTGTACCGTTTGCCAGGGACGAAAACGGTAGGAAATGGTTGGAAATGGTATCATTATTTTATTATTTTTTTAAAACGATCGGAAACGGTCGGAAAATTTTCATATTTATGAATTCATCTATTTAGTGTCAATTTCAATGCCACGCTGATAGAAATTAAAAAAACTAAATTTTAAAAAGGGTAACCATCAGTAAAAATATTATTATTGTACTACCTCTGTTTTTTTAATAGATGACGCCGTTGACTTTTTCTCACATGTTTGACCATTCGTCTTATTCAATTTTTTTTACAAATGTATAAGATATAAATCACACTTAAAATATTGTGAGTGATAAAATAACTCATAAAAAATAAATTATAATTACGTAAATTTTTTAAATAAGACAAACGGTCAAACATGTGAGAAAAAATCAACGGCGTCATCTATTAAAAAACGGAGGGAGTATTAGTTTTGCGAAAACAGTATCGGTACGGTCGGGAAATTTCCATGCCGCTTTCACCCCTACCGTTTGCTAATCCCTTCGTTTTAAAACATAACAAATACTTGTTGGATTAAACATATCTTAGTACTTCGTATTATAAATCTGGATAAATTTTGTAGCACCGAGATGTGTTTGTGCTCAATTCATTCACATTATTGCTATATTTCAGGACGGATGAAGTAGGAGGGAAGAAAGAATTGTCATTTGTCTATGGGGGTTTAATTTGACGCCTAAATTAACCGTATTAAATTTTGGTGTTACAATGTTTTGTGAGGTTAAGATGGATAGAGTACGTGTAGTGGATGCCATTTAGGATAATCTTTGCACCATTACCTTGCTAAATTTTAGTAAATGCAAAGATTTGCTGGGGTATGTTTTTGACAACAAAGGGGACAAGCTAGAACAACTTGTACTCTACACATATTTACGCTTCACTGATATGGTATTTTGCCACTTCACAAAATATATTTCGATGGTTTGTCATCTTGGCCAACTATGATAATGCATTTTTAAAGCCCAACACCTGTTCAATCGGACGTACACGTCGGACCGAACTTGTGGCTCAACAAGCAAAAACCAAGACCAGTGCAAACTTTGTGAGCCAGTGAGCTGGTTGAACCGATTGGTTTTTAACATGAACTGGGCATTAATCCGCAATGGTTAGATCCGTTGGGCATATGAAAATGTGGATTTTTTTATTTTACTTTTTTATTAAATTATTTAAAAATAATTTTCTATTTCAACATTTAAAAAGTGCTTCATCCGTTTCATATTATAAGATTTTCTAGCGTTGCCTCATTAACATCTACTCCCTCCGTCCTAAAATATAACACCCTTAGATTTGTCCTAAAATATAACAACTTCACCACCTCTTCCCAACCAATTACAACTTTCCACCATTCACTTTTCTCACCTACCTTCGCTACTAATCCAATCACAATCCTCAGCATTCACTTATATCTACTTTCTTAATAACCGTGTCCAACTCTAAAACTTCAACGGAGGAAGTATATAAATGTAGACAATGCTAGAAAGTATTGATTCATAAAGAACACTGCTCGTATTAGGTTGACCAACAATTTAACGATGGAGTCAATGAGCAACGTTTGACATTACACAATTACAGGCTATGCATGCATGGCCCTAATTAACAATTAATGATCAATAATCTCAAAATGTAAATCTGAACACGTACAGAATTAATTAATTAAGTGATTAAACACGGAGAGCGACGACACACTTACCCTCTAATTAAATTAAACATCATCGATCGATCAGGCACATACACAATGATCAATTTTAATTATCTACTTGCATTTTGTGATTTTACTCCTCCAACCTTCTATCTCTCCCATTTCACTGGTCGCTGCCGGTGGCGGGGGCGGCGGCGGCGCCGTCGACCTTGAGGGGCTCCCAGTGCGGGACGGCGTCGCTGAAGAAGCGGCCGACGACGCGCTGCTCGAGGACGGCGATGGCGTCGGGGTGCTTGATGCACCGCGGCGTCTTGTACTGGTTCACCGACGAGCCGTGCGACACGCACATGTCCATGAGCGCGTCGAACGCCCCCGGCGCCACGACACGGATCTCCAGCGGCCCGATCGACCTGTCCCGGCTCCTGCACCGCCGGTACACCGAGTCCAGCCCGGCCTCCACGGCGGCGCAGCACGCCGCCATGACGTGTGCCACCTTGTCCTTGTCCTCGCCGATGTCGGCTGCGTCGTCGGCGTCGTCATGGCATGGCGGCGGCGGTGGCGAGGGAGAGGGGGTGAGCTCCCAGAAGAGGACGTAGTGGCCGGGGATGGAGGAGGTGTCGGCGTAGGCGGTGTACTCCGCGAGGACGCAGGAGAGGGGGTCGAGGAGGGGCTTCGCAGCGGTGACGGCGCGGAGGAGGTCGTCCTCGGAGGTCTTGTCGGTGTCGACGCTGAGGACGACGTTGCGCCGGTGCACGAACCGGAATTGCGGCGCCGCGTTGTGAAACCCGGCCACCTGCAGGATGTCCCCCACCCTGTACCGGTACAACCCTGCACACAATTAATTATTAACCCAATTATTTATTATTGGATTATTAAAACGAATTATTTGGGGGAATGATATAGTACGGTATTCCGTTTAAAGGGATGATATTCTAGAAGTATCGTCTGATACCTGGCAGGTATCGCTTATACCCCATTTGAACAGGATGATACCTCAGAGGCATCACCTGATATCTGGTAGGTATCAGCTGATACCCAGGTGATACCTCCGATGTATCATCATGTCCGAACGGGGTATGTTATATAGCATTTTTCATTATTTGCTCCATCCTTTAAAAAGTATGTTTCCTCAGAAAAAAAGAGAGTTTCTAATGCATTGTTTATACTGCTTGTTCTAAACTATTGGTTAAGTTTGTTTATCAAAATATTTAATTCATCCCTAGTAAGTACAATCCATGATGGCGATCCGCTAAATATTAAAATTCAAAATGGGCCTCACATTACAAACTAAGTACCTATATGCCTTTTTTTTTTGGAACACGTGATTTTTTTTGGTAGGTGATTGTTGTGGCATTTTTTAAGTGATTTTTTTTATGTGAGGAGTGTGATAGTTGTTAGTAAAATGCTTGGAAAACAAAATATACTAAGTATTCCGACAATGTAAGTAGGGGAGTAAGAAGTTGTTGGGCCAAAGAAAATGCCAGCACGGCCTTTTCAGCCCACTGAGGATACCTGTCCTTTTTGGTGCAGAGGCTCTGTGTTTTTAGCCTGGGCCCTCTAAAAGAACACCTTTCTATCTAAATTTCTTTTAAGTGACATACTATCTTTTGGGATAATGAAACTACATAAACATTTCAATCCGTGAAATTTACTGAGATAAAGAGGCACATAAATTATACTAACTCCGTTCTTTTTTGTTTAACATTGGTTACTGCAAATTTGCATTAACCAACGTCAAACATTGAGAGATGTAGGTAGTACTTTGACAAGAAGTCAGTTTCAGTGTTGCTTAATTAAGTTCTGGCAAAAAAAAAAATTCTCCCACTGAAGTAATAACTATATTTTATTCTTATTACTCAAAATAAAATAAATATGCTTCAAGATAATTAGCAACTATTTAATCTACCTAGCCTTTTTTTTGCGGAGGACTTTATAAATTTTAATACTGAATTAAATTGCTGAAATATTTTGGTACACATCACTGGCCATGCATATGCTACAATAATTGGCACTTTGACTTTGTGCCAGGTCACACACTTGTGTAGGGCTTTTCCACGTGCAATTGCTATCTATTTGATTCAGTATTGCATTAAACAACTTTTATTTAGGAGCATAGTTTATGTATGGCGGATCCATCAGATGATGTGCACAGTCCATTTTTTTTATGGAAATGCAAATTTATAATAAATTTATTCAGCTGGTAGTGCAGGGTTGAGAGAGGAAGGTCAAAGAAATCGGATATTGTTTTAATATGTCACATCTCGATCAACTTTTTTTTGTGTCATCTATCATTGATTCTTCCATGCATAATATATCATTGTTTTCAGATGATGCACATATATCATTTTGATTTGGGTGGAATTAATGAATCCTTGAGTAAATTTAATCAAGCTAGGAGATAATGCAGTGGAAGTCAAGCACTCTACGCACTGCATTAATCAAATGAGGTATATGTCATATATCAACCATGCAGCTTCTCTAGTGATCTGTACAACTGAACTTTCTCAATGAAAAGCTAGACGTATCATTTTTTATCTTTTCTTTAGCTAATACCATTTTTCGTGTAGTAGTAGATAGCATCATACATATATAATGTTTATGTTGTCAAATATTTTTTTAATTTTCCTGCAACTATTTTTGTTTTACCCCTCTTAATAATTAAGTATGCAATGAACTATATATTGTGACTACATCCTTTCTTGTGATAACTACTGGTTCGTAATTAGATAGTATGTTAATTATCAAGATATTTTTCAAATATTCTAGTGATATATATAATTTCCATCACCCAATATATAAATTATATACATATTACACAGAGGGAGCAAGTAGTTGATACCAACGTCTCCATGTCGGGTTAAAGTAAGTATAATTAAGTGCAGACATGAAAGGCTATAGGCAAGCTAGGAGATAATGCAGTGGGAGTCAAGCACTCTACACACTATACCCCGTTGGCCTAGTAGGGAATCCCAAGCTATAACTTAATTATTTGGTCAAACTCTGAAAAAAATCTACTCAAATAATCAAGTTACCAATATTTTAATCTTGCCACATCTCATCACAAGAAACATAAGCAACTAAACAAGTGTGCTCTTTACTTATTCCTTCAATATAAAAGAAATGGAAAGTACAGTAAGCTAATAAAAATCTATTTTATGTTAACACCCATGCATTGCCTTGGATTAATTAGATTAATTTGAAAAATGGTACCTAAGAAAATAATTCTCTGACTCCCCAACCAATCGACTTGCAGTTAGCTTATAGCTTATACTACTTGCTAGTAACTCTTATTTCTCGATGAAATTAAATTAAACCTTCTTTTAGATATTAAGTAGCTAGCCTCAAGGGAAAAGATGTGTGATGTTACTTCTGTTGTAAACTAAAAATCGAGCTTGTGTACTGTGGCTTAGGGAAGCAGAATTCATTAGTGTGTGACTGTATCCACCATTAGAGGAACAACAGGGAGACCACAAAAACCAAAACAAAAATCTAAACAAGTTAAAAGATAGAACAGGTGACTCATAACCTTTTCGTCTAAAGGACACCTGCACTTATCTTTCGAATAGACCACAATGCATGCCAGGAATGGTATCACATCGCAAAAAAGTTTCATTTTATTGTTTTGGTACGTGCCACCGCAAAAAACACGGAGCTGAAAAATACCATCATTTTAGCATCGACTTGTAGAACAGGTCCTACATGTCATTCTCATGTACGATGTCATTTTGCAATTCGCGTATCTTAGTAAAGGTGGAACTTACATGATGATTTTTTTTCTCAAGGTGCATGATTATTATCTTCATTATGGAACATTAGAAAAACGTTTTCACTAATTCATTTCTTCTTTTCTGGGAAAGGGACTTCACCCCTCCTATTTCGAGGAGATATAAATAAGATTTGCCCAATTTGGATCGCTAATCCTCTCCTATAGGGGCACTTCATCTTAGCTATGATTTTCTGAATAATGGTTCCTACATGCTGTGTGTATTGTTGCTACAGTTTCCGTGCCGTCTTTGCGACAGTTAATTAGTTGATCAATAATTAAGTAACTGTGCTACATGTTAATATTTTTATGTTTTATTCACTTTAAACTTAAAATTACCCACCCGAAAATGGTAAAAGAAAATTCGAGGAACAGTACTTGGAAAAATAATATTACCTCTGTTTTTACGCATGACGCTGTTAGACTTTTCCATAGCGTTTGACTTCGTTTATTAAAAAAATAATATAAATAAATATTTAAAAATATATCTTAATATTATGGTTCCTTTGTTGAAACAAGTCACAACAAAATAAATAACATTTTATATACTTTTTTAAATAAGTTAAATGGTTAAATGTTGGCGTCATACCATGGAGGTAGTATTAACGTGAGACGGGCTCAACCAATCTCAGCCGTTGATTTTGCGATCGGACGGCGTTGATAAACCCATGCAGGAGGTGGGAAAGAAATCGAACGGGCTGCACACGCGCTCACCTGTGAAGGTGGTGACGACGAGCTCGTAGTAGGCGCCGACCTCGACGCCGACGAGGTCCACCACCTCGCCGTCGCGGACCTTCTCGCCGTCGCCGTCCTTCTCCACCTTGATGAACTCGTAGTAGCACATGTTGGGCAGCAGCGTGTACACCACCTCCTCCGGCGGGTCCAGCGGCCGGAGGTTGATGCCGAAGTAGGACTCCGACGACGCGTACATCGTCGACACCAGCGGCAGCCCGCCGCCGTAGAACTCCAGCAGCGGGATGTACTGCGCCATGGACCCCGTCACGATCACGTCGATGTACTTGGTCCGCGGCCACAGCCGCCGCACGATGCCCCGCCACGACGCGCCGCCACACTCGGCGGCGATGGCGTCGGCGAGGTCGGGGTCGGCGCGGGCGGCGAGGACGGCGTCGACGGCGCCGCGGCAGGCGGCGTCGGTGACGACGGCCGGGTCGGCGCGGCCGGCGCGGATGTCGGCGCAGAGGGCGCGCCAGTGGCCCTCGAGGAACTTGACGGCGCGGAGGAAGGCGGAGGCGAAGACGGCGCCGACGCGGAGCACCTCGCCGCGGCGGGCGAGGCCGCAGAGCAGCTGCGCGTACATGCTCTGGCGGCTGTCCGGGCAGAGGATCGCCGCGTCGGGGCTCGTGTACCGCGTGTACGGGCTGTCCGGCCGCCGCCGGAAGTGGCGGCTCTTGTAGTAGCTCGTCAGCACCGGCCTCGCCACCATCCCCGACGCCGTCGTGATCTCCGGCTTCACGAACAGCAGGTACATCCCCCTCCCCTCGTCCAGCCCCTCCACGTACCTGCACCTCCATGTCAGCATCCATGGCGATCGATGGCGAAGCCAGCGAGAGAGACTCACTTGTTCATGACGGGGACGAGGAGGTTGTAGAGGAAGGTCTTGCGGTCGAGCTCCTCCTCCGTCGCCGGCATCAGCTTCGGCTGCCCGCCTGACGTGCCGGAGCTGCGGCGCACATCGCCATGATCGACCGAGTGATTGTGTCAAATTGTGAGGTTAGCCATGGCGAGATCGAGATCGATCGAGCTTGAGCTTACCTCGTGAGGAGCTCGGTGATGGGCTTGGAGGAGATGAGCGACGACGGGGCGCCGTTGGCGATGCGCTCGATGTACGGCTTCACGTCCTCGTACTCCACCACCGGCACGCGCTCCTTGAACGCCGCGGCGAGCTCGTCCTCGCCGCCGGCGGCGGCGACGACCTCGTCGCCGAGAAACCGGCGGAGGTAGTCGGTGCCGGTGTTCATGGCGAGGACCTCGGCGAGGACGCGCCGCTGGACGGCGGCGGCGCGCGTGGTCAGCACCTCGATGAGCTCCAGGCACGCCGGCCCGTCGTGCGGGTCGCACGCCGGGATCATCGGTGGCAGCGCCGCCGCCGTCGCCGTCGCCGGCGCCGGCGAAGAGGCGTCGTGGTCGTGGTCGTGGTCGGGCGCATTTTCAGACGACGTGGACGTCATTGTTAGATGATCCATGCATGCATGCACTCTGGCCTAGTTCTCAGCTTATTCAGCTTTGGTGTGTGTGTGTGTGTGTTCTTGTATGTGTGCAAGCTACTGTTTTTGCAGAGGTGAGCTCCTTCTTGGTCTCTATGTGTTATATACATCTCATCATAAGCATGTGGAAACTTTTTTAGTCGGACAAAGAGAGAAACTTTTTAGACAGGGGTGAGGATCCTCTATCATAATATCACTACCATTATAGTCATTGGTATGGTATGTGAGTCCAACTCTACTATTGTCTCACACGTCAGTGTCTGTAATGGTAGATTATGGTAGAGGACGTGAACCCTTTAGATAGAGAAATGGAGAAAAAAATTTAGGGAGAGAAAGAAAGATTTTTTTTTGAGGAAAGAGATAAATGCTTTTTATGGAGAGAAAGCTTAAGAGAGAATTTGTTTAGAGGAAGACAAAAGGAGAAACTTCTTTTTAGATATAGAGAGAATTTTTTTTAGGGAGAGAGAGGGGGGAGATGTGGTGTGGACTTATAGGAGTGTGAAATTTTTTTGTGTGTGGTGCAACAAAATTATGGGAAAGAGAGCACAAGGTAGTGTGTGCATGTTATATTTGAGAGAAGGGCCTACACACATGTGACCATGTCTTGGACCTTGTGATTAGATGCAGCTATTATGGGTCAAAGTTCATATTGGTTGCCTGCATGCCTCTCCTTAATTTTAGTGTCTCTTTATGTTTCTGTCATTCTGTGATGACTGTTTCTTTTTGATCTCTTGGCAAATAGAGCCAAAGTTCAGTTCTTACCAGATGACTCACCTGACTTTCTTCTGAATTTTGACAGTCCAAAGGTTATTAGCTTAGTCATTGTAAACTACAGCAGAAATGTTCAGACTCTGAACTCCAGTATTTAGCATATATACATGCAAAGGGTAGAAGAAAATGAACTTTTTTGAGTTTGACGAAAAGCTAGGTCAACTTGTCACTTGGGAAATGGTTTGCATTTAAAAGTGCATATGCATCTGAAGTTCTGAACTTGCTCTTCTTCTACTTCTTCAGCCGGCAATCTGACAGGCTGCAGGTTCTACCATATAAAAAAGAAAAGGGGAGAAATTAAGAAGATTTCTTTTGATGCCCTTTCAGGTGTAAATAAAATACTGGATATATATGAGTCCATTTGATTCCTTGACCAATCTGAGGCAGGCCGAAACTGTTGTAAAATATGGGCAATATTATTTTTCTGCTGGATAGCCATGTCACCTAGAATGTACTGTTGATGCTATTTCAGATTTGTTTATGTGGTGCCAAATATTGTAGACTTCTTTTATTCAGTATTTTTTTTTCTGTTCCTGCTTTTTTTAAATTAGTGATCTGATGCTCAATCAAGTGCATACAAGATTGGCTTTGACACAACAGTCTGAACTTTTGACAGAAATATTAGCAGACAAAAATTAATCTCATGCCAGTACAATTTTCCAGTGACCAGCTGTTCTCCGGAGGTTACTTTAATATCTCGAATACGTCTCTTGTTGCTGATGCTTTTATGGGTGCTTATCAAGGGAGCATTTTTAGTGGAATGTTAAGCTGACTTGTTGGGACACCTTAATTTCAGTCAAGAGTATAATGACACACACATGGGAAAATCTCTTGATCCCAAGCTGTCTCTCTTTTGCTGCTGCAGCTGCTTCTGCTTCTGAATCCAATCATGCCTGCTGCCAAGAAGTGCCTACAAATTCGACTTGTTTTTTATAAAAAATAAGAACACAAAACTGTCAGTAGGCGTAATTGAATTATTCAGGCTCCCCTGCACTGTTGCATCACTTGACAACCTTGATTGGTTTTTTAATCAGCCAATCTTTTAAATCAGATGTGAGATGATTTAGCCAGTCAGTAGAAAGAAGTAAAATAAGCTTGGGAGAGATCACAAGGTCAGGTCTGCACCAGCTAGCTGTCCAGCTTTTGGTCTCTTGCTGCCATTAGTATAAGATATGTCATAGTTGATTGATTTAATTTTGTCATGTTGCTCTCATCAAATTGACACACAATATGTGTCTTATTGCGTCTCTGTTATTTGTTACTACCTCCTCCCAAAAGTAATTTATTTTTAACCTATTTTGCGTATACCAATATAAAACAAAAATACTAAAATATTTTTAACTTGAGTAAACTTCAATGCACTTGTCCATTACAAACTACAAAGCATTGATTGCTCTAAAGATGAGGTTTTCGTGAGACAAATAAAATTAAGGAAAAATAAAGTTATTTTGGGACGGAGAGAGTACTGAACTAGCATTTCTCTACTAGCTTCAATTATAGCCCCTTTCGATAATGGAAATTAATCCAGCTCTCCAATTATGGCTAGGTATTCTGTTCTCATAGACCATAGACTGCAAAGACTGAACTTCTGCAACTTGTACAAAGTAAGTGCCAGCTTACTTCAGCAAACTTTCTGCTACTTGTGTATTCTGCAACTTGTTGTTTGAAAGAACCTAGTTATTCTGATCATAATGCATCAGTCCTTGTATTAACAAATAATTTCTATATAAACTAATTAGGACCATGTTACAGCGCTGTGAGCTAGCTGCATCTCAGTTGCAGAACATGACAGTGTGACTGACTATATATGCCTTGCATTGGAAAGAGAGAAAACTGATGGAGTCAATCAACACCTAATAGGGTCAGTAAATAATTGGGCTTGTCTGCAAAGAACAAATGCTATAAAAAGAAACTGTTGTTTTATTGTTTGCTAGCAAAATTCACACAGTGTTGGGAGAGGATAAGCCTGTTGTTTAGTGAATATATCAATTGAATGGGGATCTGCTAGATTCGGTTCTTAAATTTAAGTAACAGGGAAAAATATGCAAGATGCAGGTGACAACAGCTTAATTGTGCAGGGGGCAGAAGACCCTTGAAAAGGGCAGGAAAAGAGGAGGAAAACAAGGAAGATCATGTCACTTCTGGCACAAGCTGGTTTATATACTAAAAGCCAAAAGCCATTGCATACTACTCTTCTTTCACACTCACGCTCTGTAATTCTGCATTATCCAAAATGAAATGCAGGGATCTGAGATAGACACTAAAAGGAAAATAATATAATTAAGTTTAACAACGAGGAACATGAATCTCATTGAGAAGAGCTGAGTTGGTGAGCAATGACACAAAAAAAATGACTTAGTCAACGGTGTGAAAAAACAAGTTTGGAGGAGTGCCTTGTCTCCACTTTGATTCTTTTATCAAATAAAGGTGGTGTTTGGATCCTTGGACTTAACTTTAGTCTTAATTTAGAGTATTAAATATAGACTACTTACAAAAATAATTACATAAATGAAAGTTAATTTGTGAGACAAATTTTTTAAGCCTAATTAATCCATAATTAGATAATGTTTACTGTAGCATCACATAGGCTTAATCATGGATAAATTAGGCTCAATAGATTCATCTCGTGAATTATCCAAGATTATAGGTGGGTTTTATTAATTGTCTATGTTTAATATTTATAATTAGTGTCCAAATATTCGATGTGATAGGGACTTAAAAGTTTTAGTCCCATCTAAACAGGGTCAAAGGTCAGTGATGTTTTTTTCACCCATGTAGATAGGATACAAATAGGCATCTTGGGGAAATAAAGTTTCAGGAAAGAAGACAGTGATTTGATTCTGTTCACTTTAGATTTTCAATCAACCCATAACTGCCAAGGTACAAATTAACAGATGCAACTAAATAATTTGATCATTATGTTCTACACTAAATAACAGACAAGCATATTGAAATTCAATCCTAAAGATCCATCTTCGTCATAACAATATGCAGTTCCTAACCCAAAACAACATAATAATGTTGGAATGAACACAATTTGCCCCACTGTGGAGGGAAATATGCATTATTCGAGTGATGATCGATTCATGTCTCTTAGCAACTACAGTAGTTAATTAGAAAAGTTGAAATTTGGTAAACTAATTCCTTCGATTTTGGTTTACCAATGGCCTTTTAAACCAATATTTCGTAAAACGATGGCACTCATCACTTAACAAATGATCATCTTTTTTTGTTGTGGATCTGCTCTACAATATATAAATTTTGTATCTTTAGCATTTGAAGCTACCTCACCAAACACAAAATTACATAGTAAGCACTACATCATCATTTGCCCCGTCAACGACGACTCGAGTGGATCAAATATTAGGCAAATTAAATAAAAAAAAATGGTCGTTTCGGTGACCCATAGAGCTGCTTTGTGTCATGTCATCTCTCCAATTTATATACATATGTTCAATTAGAATAGGAACTCTCAGGAAACCACTTGGTACTTTCTTGACTAGTGATAACAATGTTAACATCCTCCAAAGATGCATAGATAGACCAAAGGACCACCACTAGCACTTTTTCTAGTTTGAAGAGATAATATTATGTCAAAGTACAAGCTCAAAATCTTGTCCTGAGGACCACAAGGCATTAGTGAGATCTCACTATTCTCATGCTTCCCATTAGGATGCAATTGTATGGGTATTAACCATACTCAAAGCTTGATGAACTAATGAAATGCTAGCAAAGTACAACTGACTTTTTAGTTGGAAAACTTATCTTGCACATTATATGTATGTTGTATTACTTTTCAATAACTAGCTAGTAGCTAGGGTCGCTATAGACTGCTAACTGTAAGATGTTTTATTTCATTAATCCAACAGGCCAAATAATATCATTCCTAATAACATCATGATTTCGAATTTTCAATATGGTTTACTTGCTTATGTAGTTATGTGCAACAAAAATCCCTATTGGAGGATTAATTTTCAAACTAACGTACTATGAAGAAAACCCATTTTCCTTGTTATTAACACGCTCCAAAATTCCAAAACTAATTAGTTTTCAAAAATTCTGTGAAAGCCAACGAAGCACAGGGACATATGGCTGGTTATTACCTAGTCTGGTCCTGGTACACTTCACACAACAACACAGTCACACTCTAGTCAGTAGTTCAGTATTTTTTTTCCCCTGAAACAAGTGTTGTCTCTGAATCTAATCATTTTGACAGGATGGGCGCGGCGACCGAAGTGCAGCAGATCCAAGAAATGAGTGGTCCTAAGACAAAAGAGGAGGGGGATAGAAAAATATGAACAAGGCACAACTTGTGCTTTGTGAAACCTTGCAAGATCACCATGGGAGACAGGCCACATGAACTCAAGTGCTGCTCTCAACTGATGGAATAAGCCATCACATGGCGCAATGCCGATAAACTAACCATCCCTTTGCATTTCTCCAAGCAAGAAATGGTCACTATTCTAGCTCCTGAAACCCTCCCTTCAAGGGGCTCCACATGAGCTATGCACATGGATTATTCTTTGGTCAGCCATCACTCTTTGCACAGCTAGCATGATATATATGTTATTGCAGCTAGCTCACATAACTGTCTTGCGCTCACCGACCAAATCTTCAGTTATTGTGCT